AACTAACACACTGACTCCCGACCTCGCGGCAACTAATTTATATGAGCTATACTTGTTCGTGAATGATTCCAGAGACTCTGGTCTCTAGACAATTCATTATAGGCCTCTTGACGTTTCTTCACGTATGGTGGGTTGCCAACACGTGGCAATATACATACTTGTTAATAATTAATTGATTTGACCATTTTACACCTTTAGGGGTGGTATTTTTACAAACTCATTTTATATAGTAGATAAAACGAAACGAATTAGAATCGTTTTTTCTACAAAAAATCCTTGAAATGGCATTAAAAAATATGGAAGGGTGGGTTTAGGAAAGTTAAAAATTGTGGTTTGTTTTAGACCTCGACAACAAATCGGGTCCAAAACTATCCTTTCTTTGAAACTGAAGCTCAACTTTATATTACAGTCAAATTTCCTCCTAAGTCGAACCAATTATAGTATGTTTAAATTAAAGAAAATTCCAGTTACGAAAAAATTTTTGTTTTAAAGCAGTTTAAGTTAGTTATATATTAATAAGTATTACTTTCTTACTTTTTTTACATTTCTAGAACGCTCCCAAAACAAGAATATACCTAGACAAAACAAAATGCTACGTATCTGGAAGACTGCAGCATTAGAGACAAATATGTATTTGCAGTTAGTTAATGTACACCTAATCTACACGCTTTCTAACTTCGAAGTTTATAGTGCAAAACGCGGCTTTGAAATATTCATGCTGCATTTAACAGTCCATGGAACCGCTAAAAGGTGCAATTTAATAAGGTGATGAGCCATTGTTTCCTGCCTTGAAGGAAGCTAATACAGGCCATAAATACTAAAAATTCTTAAGGCAAACATTGTGGAATTTGATAAACTAGCGAGAAAAATTTATACAATAAAACAAACATATTGCTTTCCATATGTGTGCAATACGTCTTCCTCATAAGTATAAGTAGGTAACAATATGATGCATCAAAACATTGTAAAAACCGATCGCGAGTTTTTTTAATCTTGACGGAATTTCGTTTTTCTGACTACAAGTTTACTTCCATATAAGTGTAGAACATGAAAGCTTAGTTGGTTCGATTATAGACAGATACAAGCAAAAATACTTATTACGTAGTTTCAAATAAGAAATTCTAGGATCGAGGCTACCAAGAACCGAAGTTTTTCAGCGGCAAAGCGATCCATTATGTTGTTTTTGCAAGCGAGAAGAATCGTTCGAGTCATTAATGATCGTGGCAATGACCTATGCAACTAGAGTAAAGAAATCATTAAATTTATAATAGGCGACACGCTTGCTGAGCTCACCATGTCGGGGGCTCCGATTTTATTCCCGTAATAGTAAGATATGTAGATACTTATGTACCTATTTGTACGAGCCGCCCGATTTCAAAACAAAAAACAGCACGTTTGAACAGAGTATCCATTTAAAAATACTAAAGTTTAGGTACAATAAATCCAGTCTTTTAAAATAAATGATACGAATTATGGTATGAAGTAGCTAAGTTCACAAGAGTTGGTATATGATATGTTTTTATTTTTTATTATATAAACAAATACCAATAATTATCAACTCAATAAGCAAATTCACAGTAATTGTCCACATGACTAAGATTACGCAAATGTTTGAGTAAATCATTGACAGTAGCGTAGTAAAGCATCGGCAACCTCCAGTGAATATGATTAAGAAGGTAGCATAACCAGAAAAGATTTGAATTTATATTTAATAACAATAAGGTATCACACCCATCTTACGAAAACACTTTCAATAACAATGGATATTATTAAAAGTAGGTAAAAGCTATATTGTTATCAGTATATAAGACTTATATGGCTTAACGTATATATAAATAAATACTACTTTGCAAAATGTGTTGCCTAGTCTCGTTATTCCATTTGGCAGAAATACACAATTTACAATTTTATTTTAATTTTTACTCAGGATCAAATATAGTATTTCAGAATTATATCTGTAACATACTACTCTAAATTGTTTTCTAAAATAAAATTTCTTTTTAAATAAAAACCGTTTTTTGTAATTTTAACAAGTACTCAAATATTGCAATTTAAAAAATGAACTTTATTCCTTGCATGTAATAAAACAATTTTTAAAGTATTCTCAAAAGACTCAATTGTCGTAAGACATATTTTTTAAACTATTGCTTTTACTAATATAAATAAGTTTTTGAAAAAAAATTCATTAACATACATTCAGGTGCAATATTAATTGCACTGTTTTATATTGAAAATTTGCTAAAAAATAAATGCTCTTCACTACTAAGTAAGAACTACATTTATATTATCACCTACCTGTATTTGAGCAGATCATTTCATAGACGGTGTTGGCGGCATCATCCTCAGATAGGAAATCCCACAGTCCATCGCATGCAATAATAAGAAAATCTTCCTCTCCACTAAGTCGAATTTCTCGAACATCCGGAGTAGCAGTTACATATGGTTTGTATTCTAAATCACCTGTAATAAAAAAGCCATGTTTTCTTTGTTTTAAGTAACAAATAAATACGAACTGAGTAACCAAGATACAAAAGTCTCAAATAAATATAACTTACCAATAGCTCTTGAAACTGCTAACTGTCCATTTACTCTCCATGTTCCCCAAAAAATAACAGCTCCTCCTTCTTTTTCAATTCGACTTTTTTCGTCCTGAAATTTAAATTAAGATTATTTTTCCTGAAATACACAAAAGCATTTCTCTCCAACACTTAATGAATTTCTGATTTACCTCCCGACATGGCTTATGGGGATGTACACACTGTAACACTCTCCCTTCCTTAACAAGAAGGGCTTGGGAATCTCCAACCCACGCAATATATAAAGACTTTTCTTTTGGGCGAAGAAGAGCACAAACGGCCGTAGTACCACTACTCAAATTCTGTAACACAATTTCTTAAGGAATGGCTGAACAAAACCATTATTAAATGTATACTTATTGATAATGCATATTAGAAAATCAAGTAAAATATTGATTTGCAAGAAGCAACATTAGTATAAAACAAGTTATTTCAAATTGTGGATAACTAACTTCTGTTTGGCACTTGTTGACAAATAAGGCGTCTGTTTTAAGAAATGCTTCCCGAAGAGCTTGTTTAGGGTCAGTAGCATAGTTACTATTCTCTGCTAGGAATTGGTGTAAGTGAGCTGCACTATATGCAGCAGCATCATGCCCTGCATGACCATCAAAAATCGCATAAAAACTGGACGGATTCGTATCCTGAAATAACAAATAAACCACTACAGTCACATATATCTGCCACTACAATATGAAAACAAATATGTAGAAATCAAAGAACGTTTTAAAACTAATTCATACCTGAATATTGAACATGGTGTTTAAATCGTGGATAACCACATGTCTATCCTCCATTCTTCTTCTAACATTTTTTATAGCATAGGCACTGACTTTACAATAAGGAGGACCCGGTGAAGGAAGACTGCACAGTTTACTATTATCCAGATAACGGAAACATATTTCGTTTATTTGATTCATTACTGTTTGCATTAGCTTTAATGGTTCATAAACTGAAAAAAAGTGAAATAAAACACACTCTATCCGATAATTAGTAATATGACAAATTGGCCAATTAATGAACTGATGCTGTCCTGATTTGGATCTAAAGACCGTCGTCGGTTACAGTTACTACCGTTTCGGTAGCAAGAATAGCTAATTTCTTCAGAGGCCCTTCCATTTCCAATGTTGAATGAAACGTTCGGAAGCAACCCCAACTGACGACAATCTTTAGAACTGAATCAGTTCAATTAGTGACATCCAAAAAAATTTTTTTCGATGGATTTTGTAGCATAAATTGAAAAAAGATGCTTATCTGTTAATTGTATTTTAATTATTCTTTTCATACAGCTTTTACTTACCATTATCATCAGGATTAAATCCACATAAAGTTGGTTGTTTCTTGCATGTTTTTCTTGTCTCTTCTATTACAATCTTTATTAGAGGCGCTAACAACGATGGAGGGCATTTCCTTAAAAAATCAACAGTTAATCAATCAGTAATATCCTTGATTACATATCACATATCAAAACTGCACCACCACTTTAACTTAATGCACCACAAATGAATAATATGGTAGTGTCACATTTTTAAAGTAGCCACCCCATTTGAACCACAAAAGAAAGTGAGCAAAAACTCAAACATGCAAGTGTCTTCTCTCTTTTCTTAAGAAATTATTCGCTCCTTCGGCAGCGAATCAAATTTTTGTAAGTTTAAACGAGATTATCTGCTTGTATGTACTACTGAGCGTCTACTCTCAAAAATAGGAATCTGCTTAGTAAACTGAACTTCACAAAAGGTGGTTGTTCATATGCGTCATGACTGCCTTCCATGATATATACAACTCACCTTTTGCAAAGCTAAGTCTGCTATCAAATAGACTCTTATTTTTGAAAGTACACGCTCAGTAGTTGGAGCACATACTTTCAATTATGCATACTTATACATATTCTCAAGGAGCAAGTGGATTCTCAAGAAATGAGTAGACACCCACATGTTTCAAATTTTACTCACATTTGTAAGCATTTCAAATGGAGTGGCTATTTTAAAAATGCGACTACCATACACTCAACTTTATGCATATCTTATTAAAAATGTTTCTTGATTTTTATCTCTTGGGTGCCTTTATTTAACGAAATAAGGAGGTATTTAGAAATCAATAAGAAATATGGAGATAAGTTAGTAGGACACATTCTCAATCCTGAAGGGCTAATTAGACATATTAGAAACAGGAGTAAAAAGGGGAAGAAATGCGCATCCAACTAGTCTTAGGGCTGACGACGCTAACATGATAATGATCTCTATAGAAATATTGCATCAAATTATCTAAAAAGGCACCGTTATATAATAATAAATTGTATCATTACAAATTTTGTATTACTGATTAACTGTACAAAGCATTTTAAAGATGTTTTATATTATTTTTCTAAGACTATTACAATTTATTAAAATATGTATAATATTAATAAAACATGTATAATTTGTAGAGCATTATTTATTGGAATAATAAAAGCAACCAGTCAATCAATCGCAAAAAGTAATAAAAATAAAATTACATACTACAGTACAAAAAAGTCTGTTAGTCATTGCTACGAAATAAATAATAAAAATAATACGTCTGTTAGTTAAGCCTATCCAGAACTTATACGCTACTTTTCCAGTAACATGAAAAATTGGGTATTACAGTAACAATGTGCAGAATATAATCAAAAACAAATTACACACACAAAATTATAATAAACAAAAACGCTAATTCATAATAACCATAATGTAATACAAAAGTTAACATATTTCTGTATAAAAATATCAGTCATTTGTCATGCCCTAACAGGTACAAATACAGAAAATAAAAATGCCAAATAAAAGATTGATTTTAAAATAAAATTTTGCCCCTTGCTAATCATGTATGAGCAGCAAAAACATTCAAATACCTAAAGGGGCTAGTTACCCCCGTTTTGTTTTTTTAATATTTTAAAAAATATAGACATCAAAATAAATACTTTTATTCTGTCAAGCTGATGAACTGTTCTTCCCATAATTTTTTTACAATTACTTAAGAAAAAAATTAAATATTGTAATTCAAGGTATTTTGGCAACTTCATTTTATATGTGAAAAACCAAGTGGTATGAAAAAATTATCATCACTGACCCTGAATTCAACCCCTATTTAATTTTATTTATTCCCTTTTCTCAGCGACCCTTAAATGAATAATTTCCAATTTCATATTAAAGACCGAATTGTCCATTTCAAGGGTGACAATATCGATTACACAGAAATTTAGTTTCTTCAAGATTAAACATATTGTTTTAAAAGGTATTAACTAGTTTTTTTTTTTAACATCATGGTTTTAAGTATATAAAGGAAGCCGTTAATCACCATGCATTTTTTAGTAATAACAGTAGTAATCAAACCGGACATTAATGACAAGATCCAATGAGAACGCGACATCATTAACACGAACCCTCCCTCGCGAGTTTCGTTTAGTAAGTTACCGCGCGTAGTACTTAAGGCAGGCGCACTCAAGCCTTCCCACCCTGACGTATATGTATAAGTGAATGTATGTTTTTATATGTGTGTAAGCCCCACGAAGTTATTCCGCAATAAATTATTTCCGCGAACGAAATTACTTTGTTTTGACTTTTGCGCGATCGAAGTTTTCCCCGTTTCTTTAAAGTAAGACCTCATATTCAAATTCCGTATAGTTTGTTCAGTCGATATTTCAACATCGGAGGAAACTGTTCATAGAAGGCGCTCCAATTATTTTCTCCGTATTGATTTCTGAACGTAGTTAATATATTTCGAATTGTATCTTTTAGGTCGACCTTAATATCGTTCCAAGAGGCTACAGCATCACAAAAGAATATAAAATCGGGAACAGCGGCTGAAGGGTTACGAATAATTAATTGACACAGGCCGCGAAAACCCAAATCCTTTTCTTCACAATCTCTCACGTTCCTCATGGCCTGGCAACAAGGTCTCAAAATGTTGCCCAAATAAGGTGTTATAGTGTCGGGAAAAACTAAACCCAAACTACATAAAGAAATAGCAACTGTCTGGTACATTGTCTTAGCTCCATTACAAGTTTGCATTATTTCCACATATCTTTTCAAAATCTGTGGAACATATTGTTCTAATCCTTGTCCCATTACAATGCATAGCTTACTTACAACCCAAGCAGCATTATTACAGGTACCATCATACTGTTTGTCTAAATTTTGGACGATAATCGGAATGTAGTCGTGTACTTGAGGGTTAATATGATCAAAACAAAGTTTAACGAGTTCTCCAAACAGAGCCAATGCCGGTTGACGAACTTGTACCATTTCTTCTTGAAGTGTATAATACAAAAGTTGAAGAAGGTTACTGTTTGTAACATATTTAACAAAATATGTTTTTAATCCAACACTCATGCCTAACAGTAAGTCATGAGCAACGCACATTGCATCTTTTTCAGGTGGATCATACTCTGTAGGCTTTTCATTAAAACACAGTATATTTTTGACGGTTTCGTTTAAGATTTGCAAACACCTGTTGTAAGCCACCTCGGCATATGGAAGAAATCCTACTTCTACTGCTGTAACTACATTTGAAAGGCACTCCATCAGAGCCAGAAATTCTTCATCCTCATCAACAGGAATGGAATTAAATTTATGCATCAAAGGCGGTAAAAGTACCTCTATGTATTCTGGTTTATTCAGGTGATTACCCACACTTTGAGATAGTACCCCAACAACATCGTAAAGCAGCAAACAGTTGCGATACTTAAATTTTTTTGCAGCCATAACAAAAGCTTGAAGGATCAGATCAATATAGGGAACCAGTTTAAGACGTGCTTCTTCTTGAAAAATACAAAATGCTGAGAGTGCAGCTCTTTGAACTCTTTTATTACCATCAAGAAAATGCTTTAGAAGTATTGTCATAACTGGAATGAAATAAATTTCGGTGGACTGTTCAGGTTCCATCATCCAAGTCATGAAACGACTTAATGTCCAACAGGTTATTACTCTAATTAGGGAATGTTCATGATTCATACAGACCAGAAGATACTGAACCAATCCTGGCAAATATGGACATAACCCAGACATGCATCCATCAGCTATAGCACCGAGAGCCAATATACCAGATTCTTTAATTAATGTGTCATTATGATTCAATGCCTGATTAATAATTGGTACAACTATTGCAAGCATGTCTTCCCTAAATTGCAAAGAAAGGGCATCCAAAGAAGCAGCACTACATTTTCTTAAAGTCCATCCAACATTTGGTTCACCCATCAAATCTTTACCATCATAATCAACTTCTTCATAATATTCATCATCATTTCCACCAGTACTGAAGCCTCTTGGTTGAATATCATCAGCCTTGTCTTCTACATGTTCATCAATACCTAGATGATCTTTTAAAGCATCTAGCTCGAAGTTTGAATACTTCATATTTTTAATCAGGATTGGTAGCAAACGGTTAGCATATGGCAAAAAAATTTCTCTGCAAGTAGGCAACTTGGCACTTGCTAGCCAAAACTCACAACCCTGCAATGCTACTTCAGTGTCTTCATGTTCTAGCTTAGAAAATATGAATTCTACTATGGTCGCAATATGAGGTAAAATATTAACATCCCTTGTCTCTATAAACATTACAAAAGCTTGGCATATCAGTTTCTGAACTTCAGGATCATTATCCTTTAAAATTTGCAGTAAACTGTTCATGTATAATTTGGTATCAAAATGTTTCTTTGTCAAGTCAATATCATCTTGCATGACCTGATTGAGAAGTTTCAAAGCCTCTTTTCTAATACTGGCTCGTTCATTTGTGACCAGTGTTACAAATTTAGACAGCAACTCATTTATCATTTCATTATGCTCTTCCTGACCAGATCCCAACCTCGAAAGATACTCTTCACATATTTTAAAAAGGGCTGACAATGCTGTCTCGCTTAAATTGCTGTCAGAAGACTCAAGCAAAAGGCATAAGTATGGAATTAGATTTGGCCATGATGATATGCTATCTTTACATACTAATACCCCTATTAATGTAGTAACACTAGTTCTCACTTCTTTAGAAGTATCTTTCATTAATTCCAAGCACTGCTGTCTAACAATTTCAATTGTAGTTATTGGTAAAGTTTCATAAAGAGTAGAAATGTTGTTTTTTAAAATTATAGCACTCAATGTGCGAACGTGATCATTATAAGATTGAGCATTGGAGAGAATATAAAGTAAATAGTTTGTGAAATCAGGATAGTTTTGCATCAAAACAATCTTTTCTTGTACTGCTTTTTGCACATTGCTATCTGGAACCAATGAGTCCTGAAGGACTCTTACAATTGTAGACAAGGCATCTTCTGATGGTTTCCATTCATTAAGTGCCATTGTAAGCAACACTTTCAATCCAAAATGTTGAACTGAATATGTTACTAATTGATTAAACAATGGTGTAATTCACTAAAAAAGATATTGATATCATTACAGAGGTTATGTGAAATTAAACCGAAATTTAAACTTACATAAATTTTTGCCTAAACAACACATCAAAAGTACACAAGTGTGAAGAATTGTTTCTAAAATGGTAAATAGCACTCAAACCTTGATTTATTTTAAAATTCCAATTTTTTTGTAGAAACAAGTACTTATATTGACAATTTACGAATTTTCCACTTCATAAGCATGCGCAACACAATTTTAATTAACATTTGTGATATGTCATCGTGTTACAAATGCATTTAAATCATAGCTATCTCTTTTATAATAAGTACATTTTCTTTTTATTTTAAGTATACTAAGAAATAATAATCATTATTGTTATCACTATGAACCTTTTTAAAATAAAAAAATTCTATGGCAGCTTCAAATTTAGAAAGTTATTACCCACCTACTAGAAATACTTGGGATCAATATATTACTATGACATCCTGTTCGTTTTCCAAAATTAATACACAGTTCCGATCGCAAAAAATGTTAGATATTAATATTGTACGAATTAAACATTCAAAGTGCAGCACAAATTATGCTATTAAAACACGAAGTGGAGTATAGGTAACATACATCATTAAATTGGCTAATATTTCTATTATAAATAAAAAAAGTATACATCTATATTTCTAAAAAAATAATCATATTTTTAAGAGAATAAAAATAATCAGTACGAATTAATAAATTATTTCATACTTGGTTGCTTTTTTTAATTATACATGTTCTTCAATGGACTTTATACAAGTTAGTGATTAATTATTATGGAGATAAATTTATACATTTTACATCTAGGTAAACAACTCACGAGCTGACGAAACTACCTTGTATTTGTACATGACTAATTGTATTTTTTAATATTGTAACTTCTTGTATAGACAAGTTAAATTGCAGGTAGGAATTAAACAGTAAATAGGTTTAAAAAGACTACTTACTTCTGATTTAAATATTGAGTACTCCAATCAATGATTCCGCCAACAACTTCCGTATTCACCAATTTATAGCTTGATAATCTAACTGGTAACTGGTCGTTCGGATTTACTGTTTGTGCAAAGTTTTCAAAAAACTGACGATATTCAATTAAATAATCGTCCTTATTAGCCATAATTAAAACAAATATCACAGTTTCTTCAAATAAGGTTAGACACTGCGTACACAAGTTTCTTTAAAAAATTCGTTGATATGTTTATTTGTACTTTAGGTAAAAATTATTATCTTTGTAATACTTGCGATAAGTTTTCTTTTTTATTATTGCCAATAAATAACCTGCACTGTTTATTAAAAATATTATTAACCTACGTCAGTAGCAACTCGTACGAATTGAGAAACAACCAAATTACCAAATACAATAACTGTTAAATATCATAGACTTATGTAGACCTTAGCTTGTCTATGGGTCTCAGATAAATATCTATGATACCAAGACAGTTACAATGTTTTGAGAACAAATAATAAAAAATAAACATGAAATAAACTTAAGAATAACTGCGAAAATACCTAGTCATTACAGTTATTACAATTTCTAAGTTCGAGAATTTTTTACTGTTTCGGTTGAATTTAGATTTGAAATTTAAAGAAAATGTTATAAAAAAAAGTTACTACTACACAGGTATTACAATTTATACATTGATAAATAAGACATTTCTGATTGTTAGAAAAGTATTTTAAACAGTACATTTTTACATTATGCTACAATATTTTGAGACAGATTCTGAAGGTATGTCTCCCCTCATTTCTTTAGCTTTCAGATGCAAAAAACTATGTTCATATTCTTGTATCATATGTTCTGGAAGTGGTTTTTCCCAATCTTCTGGGGGAGATGAACGTTTCTCCCAAACATCATTAGCATAATGATTTCTTAATCTTTCCAAATGCCTATTACATTCACTTTTAATTAATTCCTTCTAAAACAGTAAGTAAAATTGTAAGCACATATGTAAACTATGATTAAATACTGACTGCAGCTTTATAGTCCTTATTTTTTACCCATTTCCAGCAATTATCGCAATCTCGTTTCCATTGAGAACAATCCAATGTAGTCCCGAAAACAAAATACTGGTGAAAACGAGCTTTAATACTAGTACAATCCGAATATTCATCCGAATAAATATCGCAATCCCTTATCTAAAATTTGTCAAATGTAAGTAAAATATGCAACATTACCTTTTACATAATTTAGTAATCACCATCCATTCCCTGTCAAGATTTGTTTCATTATTTTTTTCATTTTCCGGCATCGAAAGCTGTTATTTTTCAAAATATCAAAATTAACCTATAAACTTGTTACATAACATTCTTTATATCTTATAATCTTATTGTTAGTAAGGTTGTAACTAACGATTTTATTAGATCAAATTATTTAATTTGTCGTATTCAATCATTTTATACGTTAAAATGGTATTTATTAATAAAATTAAAAAAAATACCATGTTTTATACAGATCTATGCAAAAATACTGTTAGGTTCATGATATGTAATAGGTACTGATAGGCATCTAAAATATACCTATATCATTATGTGTATACATATATTTGTAATATCTGTATTATTATCTTATTTTTGTCCCATTTTGCTGCATAAATCCTTGGAGAGGGGTTAGGGGGTTCCCAACACCAAGAGTGAGGGACATGCCCAAATTAAAAGACAGCTCAGGAAATTAATCAACGCTCCCTTGTTAACACAAAAAGAATGAAAATTTGGAAAAGTAGGTATTACAATAAATTTATGTAGGGTACCTAACTGGTAAGTTCTTTTCTTTTTCAAAATAGCCGTTCTTTATCTGCTTTATCAGATTAAATAAAAAATAAAAAGAAATAAACATATGCATTAAATATGTACAAATGTAAACACAAGAAAAAATTCATAAACAGAATTATACCTAATTTTATTTGTAAAAAAATAAATACACATTTGCATGTACAATGATATTTTAACATATTATAATGAAGGAACTGTATACATAAGTACCTATAAAAGGTACCTATAGTTACTAACATATAGTATAAAGTAATATTTATGTATTTTCATAATTATCCCCATCATAATTTTTAAATTTCGTAATTAATAGTACAATTGTAACAATAATTATAACTATAAGAATGCATTCGTAAAATTTGACGCTATATATAAAGTCTTTCCACGATATCTTTTCCAATGTATCGGTCTTATGGTGGGAAATCAGCTCCTTGCAGATTGGTAATTTCCTTATTTTGTATTGTTCCATTTTTGCTGTCTTAACAATTAATAATTGTTTCTTAAAATTTGCTGCTATTATTTCAAATTCTTCTGTATTATTTACAAAGCACAGGGGCACAGCTTTAAAAGCAAGCCGCACCGTAATAACTATTTTTTTATTTTTTTGTAAATTATTCTCTTGCAAACTTAGGACTATCGGAACATATATAAATATAAACAAATAAATAATTGTTTTTGATATGCATTTGTTCCATAATTCCATTGTGAATCACTATGTCGGAAATTTTTATTCAATCCAAGCAACGTTACCAATTCAATTCTCTTTGCACAATGGGAGAATTTGCTGATAACTCCCGAATTTGTATTTTTGGCGCAAACAAGTTGAGACCTGTCTGTCCACTGTGCATGATTGCCAGATCTACGGAAATTTCTCTAGACAGAAAATTTAAAGCCAGCTTAGGAAAAAGGGAATTTTTATTCAACTCTATACATTTAAGAAATTATTATCTCTAACAATATTTTAAGCAACAAAAGCAAAAAAGGAGTTTTATTAATGTTAAATGTCAGGGAATCATAACATAAAAATCAAATATATAAAAATGTATAAACATCAAACGTCAGTGAAGATTTCCAACTACATAAAAGCAAAAGCACGATTATACATATTGCCTTAAACGGTTTCTGTGATATTCCGTACTCTCACTAAAATACTGTAAAAAATATCAATCTAAATTTATTATTGAATTATTGGGAAATAATGTAAAAAATATAGGGAATAAAAAAAAATATATCTGGCAACCCTACTCAAGATTTCTTTTCATTCAAAAATTTGATCTGTTTGAAGCGTTTTTGTTTTGTAAGTGATTTTTTTTAACAATCAATAGTTTGATTTTAAATCGAATCCAAAGAAATTGTCTTAAATTTATACAAGTAATTTATGATTGAAAAAAAAATATTATTCCAGGATTGCCATAATAATGCTATATATTTATATTAAGCGTTTAATAGGACTATTTGTTATGTCAATATACATATCATATTTCGAAGTTGCAGAATACGTCCAAATTTGATTTTTATATTTTATGACGAATATTGATAGTAAAAAAAACTTCTCATTCTTATAGTTATAACAATTTTTGGTACATAAAAAATACGAAATTTTATTGCCAGTACAATATAAAATTAATTCTTCAATAGGACAGAATTGTTAGTAAATAGAAAGAATATTGTAAATGGATAAATACTGACTGATATGAAATGCCTACACATAAAGGTACAAGTAATTACGGGAAAAAAGCAGTTATTATGAAGGNTTAATATGATCAAAACAAAGTTTAACGAGTTCTCCAAACAGAGCCAATGCCGGTTGACGAACTTGTACCATTTCTTCTTGAAGTGTATAATACAAAAGTTGAAGAAGGTTACTGTTTGTAACATATTTAACAAAATATGTTTTTAATCCAACACTCATGCCTAACAGTAAGTCATGAGCAACGCACATTGCATCTTTTTCAGGTGGATCATACTCTGTAGGCTTTTCATTAAAACACAGTATATTTTTGACGGTTTCGTTTAAGATTTGCAAACACCTGTTGTAAGCCACCTCGGCATATGGAAGAAATCCTACTTCTACTGCTGTAACTACATTTGAAAGGCACTCCATCAGAGCCAGAAATTCTTCATCCTCATCAACAGGAATGGAATTAAATTTATGCATCAAAGGCGGTAAAAGTACCTCTATGTATTCTGGTTTATTCAGGTGATTACCCACACTTTGAGATAGTACCCCAACAACATCGTAAAGCAGCAAACAGTTGCGATACTTAAATTTTTTTGCAGCCATAACAAAAGCTTGAAGGATCAGATCAATATAGGGAACCAGTTTAAGACGTGCTTCTTCTTGAAAAATACAAAATGCTGAGAGTGCAGCTCTTTGAACTCTTTTATTACCATCAAGAAAATGCTTTAGAAGTATTGTCATAACTGGAATGAAATAAATTTCGGTGGACTGTTCAGGTTCCATCATCCAAGTCATGAAACGACTTAATGTCCAACAGGTTATTACTCTAATTAGGGAATGTTCATGATTCATACAGACCAGAAGATACTGAACCAATCCTGGCAAATATGGACATAACCCAGACATGCATCCATCAGCTATAGCACCGAGAGCCAATATACCAGATTCTTTAATTAATGTGTCATTATGATTCAATGCCTGATTAATAATTGGTACAACTATTGCAAGCATGTCTTCCCTAAATTGCAAAGAAAGGGCATCCAAAGAAGCAGCACTACATTTTCTTAAAGTCCATCCAACATTTGGTTCACCCATCAAATCTTTACCATCATAATCAACTTCTTCATAATATTCATCATCATTTCCACCAGTACTGAAGCCTCTTGGTTGAATATCATCAGCCTTGTCTTCTACATGTTCATCAATACCTAGATGATCTTTTAAAGCATCTAGCTCGAAGTTTGAATACTTCATATTTTTAATCAGGATTGGTAGCAAACGGTTAGCATATGGCAAAAAAATTTCTCTGCAAGTAGGCAACTTGGCACTTGCTAGCCAAAACTCACAACCCTGCAATGCTACTTCAGTGTCTTCATGTTCTAGCTTAGAAAATATGAATTCTACTATGGTCGCAATATGAGGTAAAATATTAACATCCCTTGTCTCTATAAACATTACAAAAGCTTGGCATATCAGTTTCTGAACTTCAGGATCATTATCCTTTAAAATTTGCAGTAAACTGTTCATGTATAATTTGGTATCAAAATGTTTCTTTGTCAAGTCAATATCATCTTGCATGACCTGATTGAGAAGTTTCAAAGCCTCTTTTCTAATACTGGCTCGTTCATTTGTGACCAGTGTTACAAATTTAGACAGCAACTCATTTATCATTTCATTATGCTCTTCCTGACCAGATCCCAACCTCGAAAGATACTCTTCACATATTTTAAAAAGGGCTGACAATGCTGTCTCGCTTAAATTGCTGTCAGAAGACTCAAGCAAAAGGCATAAGTATGGAATTAGATTTGGCCATGATGATATGCTATCTTTACATACTAATACCCCTATTAATGTAGTAACACTAGTTCTCACTTCTTTAGAAGTATCTTTCATTAATTCCAAGCACTGCTGTCTAACAATTTCAATTGTAGTTATTGGTAAAGTTTCATAAAGAGTAGAAATGTTGTTTTTTAAAATTATAGCACTCAATGTGCGAACGTGATCATTATAAGATTGAGCATTGGAGAGAATATAAAGTAAATAGTTTGTGAAATCAGGATAGTTTTGCATCAAAACAATCTTTTCTTGTACTGCTTTTTGCACATTGCTATCTGGAACCAATGAGTCCTGAAGGACTCTTACAATTGTAGACAAGGCATCTTCTGATGGTTTCCATTCATTAAGTGCCATTGTAAGCAACACTTTCAATCCAAAATGTTGAACTGAATATGTTACTAATTGATTAAACAATGGTGTAATTCACTAAAAAAGATATTGATATCATTACAGAGGTTATGTGAAATTAAACCGAAATTTAAACTTACATAAATTTTTGCCTAAACAACACATCAAAAGTACACAAGTGTGAAGAATTGTTTCTAAAATGGTAAATAGCACTCAAACCTTGATTTATTTTAAAATTCCAATTTTTTTGTAGAAACAAGTACTTATATTGACAATTTACGAATTTTCCACTTCATAAGCATGCGCAACACAATTTTAATTAACATTTGTGATATGTCATCGTGTTACAAATGCATTTAAATCATAGCTATCTCTTTTATAATAAGTACATTTTCTTTTTATTTTAAGTATACTAAGAAATAATAATCATTATTGTTATCACTATGAACCTTTTTAAAATAAAAAAATTCTATGGCAGCTTCAAATTTAGAAAGTTATTACCCACCTACTAGAAATACTTGGGATCAATATATTACTATGACATCCTGTTCGTTTTCCAAAATTAATACACAGTTCCGATCGCAAAAAATGTTAGATATTAATATTGTACGAATTAAACATTCAAAGTGCAGCACAAATTATGCTATTAAAACACGAAGTGGAGTATAGGTAACATACATCATTAAATTGGCTAATATTTCTATTATAAATAAAAAAAGTATACATCTATATTTCTAAAAAAATATAATCATATTTTTAAGAGAATAAAAATAATCAGTACGAATTAATAAATTATTTCATACTTGGTTGCTTTTTTTAATTATACATGTTCTTCAATGGACTTTATACAAGTTAGTGATTAATTATTATGGAGATAAATTTATACATTTTACATCTAGGTAAACAACTCACGAGCTGACGAAACTACCTTGTATTTGTACATGACTAATTGTATTTTTTAATATTGTAACTTCTTGTATAGACAAGTTAAATTGCAGGTAGGAATTAAACAGTAAATAGGTTTAAAAAGACTACTTACTTCTGATTTAAATATTGAGTACTCCAATCAATGATTCCGCCAACAACTTCCGTATTCACCAATTTATAGCTTGATAATCTAACTGGTAACTGGTCGTTCGGATTTACTGTTTGTGCAAAGTTTTCAAAAAACTGACGATATTCAATTAAATAATCGTCCTTATTAGCCATAATTAAAACAAATATCACAGTTTCTTCAAATAAGGTTAGACACTGCGTACACAAGTTTCTTTAAAAAATTCGTTGATATGTTTATTTGTACTTTAGGTAAAAATTATTATCTTTGTAATACTTGCGATAAGTTTTCTTTTTTATTATTGCCAATAAATAACCTGCACTGTTTATTAAAAATATTATTAACCTACGTCAGTAGCAACTCGTACGAATTGAGAAACAACCAAATTACCAAATACAATAACTGTTAAATATCATAGACTTATGTAGACCTTAGCTTGTCTATGGGTCTCAGATAAATATCTATGATACCAAGACAGTTACAATGTTTTGAGAACAAATAATAAAAAATAAACATGAAATAAACTTAAGAATAACTGCGAAAATACCTAGTCATTACAGTTATTACAATTTCTAAGTTCGAGAATTTTTTACTGTTTCGGTTGAATTTAGATTTGAAATTTAAAGAAAATGTTATAAAAAAAAGTTACTACTACACAGGTATTACAATTTATACATTGATAAATAAGACATTTCTGATTGTTAGAAAAGTATTTTAAACAGTACATTTTTACATTATGCTACAATATTTTGAGACAGATTCTGAAGGTATGTCTCCCCTCATTTCTTTAGCTTTCAGATGCAAAAAACTATGTTCATATTCTTGTATCATATGTTCTGGAAGTGGTTTTTCCCAATCTTCTGGGGGAGATGAACGTTTCTCCCAAACATCATTAGCATAATGATTTCTTAATCTTTCCAAATGCCTATTACATTCACTTTTAATTAATTCCTTCTAAAACAGTAAGTAAAATTGTAAGCACATATGTAAACTATGATTAAATACTGACTGCAGCTTTATAGTCCTTATTTTTTACCCATTTCCAGCAATTATCGCAATCTCGTTTCCATTGAGAACAATCCAATGTAGTCCCGAAAACAAAATACTGGTGAAAACGAGCTTTAATACTAGTACAATCCGAATATTCATCCGAATAAATATCGCAATCCCTTATCTAAAATTTGTCAAATGTAAGTAAAATATGCAACATTACCTTTTACATAATTTAGTAATCACCATCCATTCCCTGTCAAGATTTGTTTCATTATTTTTTTCATTTTCCGGCATCGAAAGCTGTTATTTTTCAAAATATCAAAATTAACCTATAAACTTGTTACATAACATTCTTTATATCTTATAATCTTATTGTTAGTAAGGTTGTAACTAACGATTTTATTAGATCAAATTATTTAATTTGTCGTATTCAATCATTTTATACGTTAAAATGGTATTTATTAATAAAATTAAAAAAAATACCATGTTTTATACAGATCTATGCAAAAATACTGTTAGGTTCATGATATGTAATAGGTACTGATAGGCATCTAAAATATACCTATATCATTATGTGTATACATATATTTGTAATATCTGTATTACAAATATATGTATACCTATATCATTATGTGTATACATATATTTGTAATATCTGTATTATTACAATATGTATTATACCTATATCATTATGTGTATACATATATTTGTAATATCTGTATTACAAATATATGTATACACATAATATCTAAAATATACCTATATCATTATGTGTATACATATATTTGTAATATCTGTATTATTATCTTATTTTTGTCCCATTTTGCTGCATAAATCCTTGGAGAGGGGTTAGGGGGTTCCCAACACCAAGAGTGAGGGACATGCCCAAATTAAAAGACAGCTCAGGAAATTAATCAACGCTCCCTTGTTAACACAAAAAGAATGAAAATTTGGAAAAGTAGGTATTACAATAAATTTATGTAGGGTACCTAACTGGTAAGTTCTTTTCTTTTTCAAAATAGCCGTTCTTTATCTGCTTTATCAGATTAAATAAAAAATAAAAAGAAATAAACATATGCATTAAATATGTACAAATGTAAACACAAGAAAAAATTCATAAACAGAATTATACCTAATTTTATTTGTAAAAAAATAAATACACATTTGCATGTACAATGATATTTTAACATATTATAATGAAGGAACTGTATACATAAGTACCTATAAAAGGTACCTATAGTTACTAACATATAGTATAAAGTAATATTTATGTATTTTCATAATTATCCCCATCATAATTTTTAAATTTCGTAATTAATAGTACAATTGTAACAATAATTATAACTATAAGAATGCATTCGTAAAATTTGACGCTATATATAAAGTCTTTCCACGATATCTTTTCCAATGTATCGGTCTTATGGTGGGAAATCAGCTCCTTGCAGATTGGTAATTTCCTTATTTTGTATTGTTCCATTTTTGCTGTCTTAACAATTAATAATTGTTTCTTAAAATTTGCTGCTATTATTTCAAATTCTTCTGTATTATTTACAAAGCACAGGGGCACAGCTTTAAAAGCAAGCCGCACCGTAATAACTATTTTTTTATTTTTTTGTAAATTATTCTCTTGCAAACTTAGGACTATCGGAACATATATAAATATAAACAAATAAATAATTGTTTTTGATATGCATTTGTTCCATAATTCCATTGTGAATCACTATGTCGGAAATTTTTATTCAATCCAAGCAACGTTACCAATTCAATTCTCTTTGCACAATGGGAGAATTTGCTGATAACTCCCGAATTTGTATTTTTGGCGCAAACAAGTTGAGACCTGTCTGTCCACTGTGCATGATTGCCAGATCTACGGAAATTTCTCTAGACAGAAAATTTAAAGCCAGCTTAGGAAAAAGGGAATTTTTATTCAACTCTATANTGATATGTGGGTTTGTTTTGTGGGAATAAAAAAAAATATATCTGGCAACCCTACTCAAGATTTCTTTTCATTCAAAAATTTGATCTGTTTGAAGCGTTTTTGTTTTGTAAGTGATTTTTTTTAACAATCAATAGTTTGATTTTAAATCGAATCCAAAGAAATTGTCTTAAATTTATACAAGTAATTTATGATTGAAAAAAAAATATTATTCCAGGATTGCCATAATAATGCTATATATTTATATTAAGCGTTTAATAGGACTATTTGTTATGTCAATATACATATCATATTTCGAAGTTGCAGAATACGTCCAAATTTGATTTTTATATTTTATGACGAATATTGATAGTAAAAAAAACTTCTCATTCTTATAGTTATAACAATTTTTGGTACATAAAAAATACGAAATTTTATTGCCAGTACAATATAAAATTAATTCTTCAATAGGACAGAATTGTTAGTAAATAGAAAGAATATTGTAAATGGATAAATACTGACTGATATGAAATGCCTACACATAAAGGTACAAGTAATTACGGGAAAAAAGCAGTTATTATGGAGGGGTGAATTCAAAATTGGAGAGAATATTGAACTTAGTAAAAATAAATAACGTTTACAAATATTTTATTTTGCGCTACATATTGGACACTACCAGTTTGGCGCCGAAATAAGTCAAAAAGTCTAAAAATTATTCATAAATGTACATCAATCTGTTTTATTATTCCTGATCCTTTCGGCTTTCTGACCCAGCATGAAAATGACTTTGTCATCGGTAACAAATGTAAACGCCGAAAAAGGGTCTTTAAGCATTTTACCGTTATTTTTAATTCTAAGCTAACGCAAGTATAAATTTACATAGCACTTTCAACAGATGGTCTCTTAATTCAGAAGCATTCTATTTACAACTATTTAAAAAGTTACATGTAATTATGAAAATGTAAAATATGTGCAAATTCCTCACACATTCCGAGGGAGTGTTAGAACCTCCAAAACCCTCCCCTGCGTTCGCGCCTGATACACATTATAATAAGTGTTATTCCACCTCAACCAGAGACCCTGACACGGAGATTTTTATCAATCAGGAACGGGGCAGGTGAATCAATGAAATCTTTGAAAGTATATAATACGTAATTAATTTACTACCTCATTAGCCCTTCACACTTATCTTACTACACTTGTTTTGCACAGATACCCAAAGATATTGCTACAAAGTCTAAAAAAACTATTATTGAAAATAAAAACATTTGACTCATGAAGATTTTCATGAATCAGAGCAGATCAGCCTGGAAATAAAAAATATTTTTTACTATGATGAACATCAACTTAAAAATTGATACACAATGTGATACCTACTGCAAATAAAAATAAAAACACTATAGTGAATATAGATAACATAATAATCAAAACATATCTTCTAATGAAAAATGGTTACTCATTGATCATCCATATGCACGTATAAAGATAACCAAAGCAGTTAATAAGGTCTATAATAATTGTTATTCCTTTCATGCAGAAAACACACTCAAACTTTGCACATTATGAGTCTTATAGTCGGAAATTATGTACATGAAAAGAATGAAAACTTGGAAGAATTTTACAAAGCAGCTGGTAAGGAAAAAATTAAATTTAGAGACTTGTTTTGCGTTACTATGATTAATTATTGATTTATACTGCTTATCGCTTATAAAAATACCTAACAATTAAATAATGTATAGTAATCTATTAGGAATAAATAAAAATGGTATTTTTTATAAATATAGGCATTCCGTTTATTCCACGAAAGATGATGTTGGCGTCCCACCCATCTATGCAAATCACCGTGAATGAAGAAGGAGAATGGTCCATTACAACTGTTACCCTTGTAAGAACACACATTACAAAATTTAAGTTGGGGGAAGAATACGAGGAAACAATGCCTGGTAACGTTCAAATAAAGGTATTGATTATTTCAATAATAGTAACAAAATTTGAGGAAATCACTATCAAATTATTTTTTTTTGTTTTACGTTGCCTTAAATAAATCTATAAATCTAATCTAGACTTAGATTAGATTAAAAATTATAACATTTTATTCTTATTCAGGAACACTTAAGAAAAGATAAAGGAAACTATATTTGTAGGTTTAAAAAGCATGTACATAAAATCAGTGTCTGTACAAATATGGTAAATATAATTAGAGGCTTCTATAAATAAATAAAATAAAAATAGCAGGTTTAGCTATTTTTCTAATATAAAAACTAATTTAAGATTACTAAAATCACCAGTTAATGTAATATTAATTTCCGGTGCCCCAATATATTCAATTAGACTTGAAGAATTGAAAGTATTCAAATGTTTATAACCAACCTACATACACACCAAATTGCGGCGTTACTACTGGAGCACTTTTGAAAAAAAAATTATATTTCAATTAACGATGTTTTTAGAATTATTTTCGTCTTTTCAAGACCTTTAATTTTCAATGTTTTTTGATGACAGGAATAAATAAACAAGCCTCGTTACCTAGAATAATTCTTTGGCATACGTAGAAAAAATTATATTCTAAAGCTTATATGAATAGCTGCTACGATAGTTTTGAATCATATTTTATCATACAGAATAAATATTATGCATGTTTGATTTAACTTTTCTTAATTCTAGAATGTTACCACAAAAGAAGAAAATAAGCTAGTTACAATTTCAACTGGTCCTGATGGCAGTAGATCTTTAAGAATATACGAATTTTCAGATACTGGCGCTGTTATCGTAAGTAAAGGGAATTACCAAATATTTAACTATTTTAGGTAATGATTTAAGTAGTTAACACATCCCTTTTTTTTAAGACTTTAAGGCATGAACCGACAGGAGTGGAAGGAAGGCGTTATTTCAAAAGGGTTTAATTATTACAAATATTTAAACGCACTTCAAGGTAATTAACCACATGTATATGTATGTATGCATAAGCATTTTTAACCTGCCTAAATTAAACGCATTCTTACATTAATAACGAAGTTTATTTGGTTTTTCCAATTAATCAATAACGAACTAACTTAAAGTACAATCTTGTATAATAAAGTAAATAGTATTAGCCCATGCAAACTATTAAACAAAAAAATGTAGATTTCATTTCAAACAACAAATTAAAGCATCCTTTACGTCTTGTTTTTAATATTTATTTTTAAATAGTTAAAGCAAATAAAGTTCAATTCCCCGAAAATGTCATAGATGTTGCAAATAACACCTTTTGTTTACCTTTTTTCTTCTTTTTTCCTCTTCGTTGGGATTCACCTTAAAGCACAAAAACAAGGTTAAAATTGGTGAAGATGAAGAGGGAATCAATTTCCTTTTAATTTGATTGCTCACCATTATTGTCATTATCATTAGTGAGGTCCACTTTTTCTAAGGCCGACGCTATAGCGTCTCCGAAACTCCTATTAAACGCTGGTACAGGGACGTATTCGTCAGGTTCGGGTTCGCTATCGCTGTTATTACGATTAGTTTTTTTGACAAAAGATGATCGAGCTTGTGATCCAGTGACGTTGATTATTTTTACACTGTTAGAGGCCATAGGTTTTACTGATTCAGATTCACTCGTTGTGTGCGGTTTACTTGTAGATAGCATCTAATTAAAAATCGAAAAATAAATTTTTCATTATAATTCTTAAAATTATTTAAAATAATAGTTTGATTATGACAAAAAAAATACCTTCGCAAATGAAAGTCCGCCAGTTTCTCCATCTTTGTTTAAACTTCCAGACAGTGAAGTATTTGTGGAACTATTTAATAGTGTGATAGGAGAAAGACTCCTTTCACTATATGGTGATATTTGTCCATATGTTTGTGAGTATTCTCCTTGCTGATCAAGACCAAAATCTGGAAATTGACGATGGGATTCAATATGAATATTAGCTGAACGAAATCTGCCCATTTTCATATTTTCCTGTTCTTCTATGCGTTTTGCATGACGTTTTTCCTCTTTTTCTCTATGAAGACGACGTTTACGTCGCAACTCAATTTGGTCTGAAATAAATACAGAAGAATAAAAACTGAACAATTAATTATTACCAAAAATTAGGCCTAAAGTTATATGTAGCACAGGGGACTGACCTCCAAAGGCATAAGTACACCTTGGAGCTAATTGACCTGGCCGAAATAATTTACGCACAAACAAATATGAAATATTTCATAATAGTAATATTTCAAAGGTTACTATTTGTGCATTTTAAGCCATAGTGCTTATTTAATTTTAATCATTAACAAAAATTCAGAGAAACCACGAACCAAATAAAAATAATTACCATGAAAATAAGTAACAGTATCCAAAGCCACAACAGGTGGCATTAATTGGATCTCAGCCACCTCAAAGGGGCAACTAATTGGAAGGTGTTGCAAATATCTCAATCGTTTTCTCAGATCCTCTGTCATAGATCCACATTCCTTTTCAACAATTCTTCCTATTATAGTTTTAGGACAATTTTCAAGAGAACCGTAAGTATGTTCAAGCATTTTAATATTTAATGAATGCATATAGATATGCTGTCCATCAGATGCTGCAAGCATTAACAAGAAATTAAAATCAGTTGAAATTTCAAATAAGAAAATATAATTAAAATTTTATTGTTATTGATTCAGTTTTAAGTTTCTGTATTGACCACAAAAAAATTAAAAAGAACTGAATCTTTTAATTTTCCAAAGTTACAATTTCATGAAGCATTTGAACAGCAACATGTACTCAACACTTTGGACAAACAATATAGGTAATTATTTAATCTTGGTGAATTTATAACCTACCTTGATAGAAATAAAAATATTTTGATGCTTTTTGGACACTATACGAAGAAATTTCTAAGTCTTCAACTGCTATATTTTCTTGATCTTCAAGTTTAAGATTTGTTTCTTCTTTGCCATCCCAATTCTCAGAACATGTTTCCAACTGTTGTACACTATATTCATATTCATTATTTGCCATATATTCCGATATTTTGAAATTTGTTATATCTACATCAAATTCTTTAAAAACCAGTTTTTCACGTTCTTCAAGCAATTGTAGGGCTTGTTCAATAAAACATTTTTCTGGACAATTTTCATCTTCATGTAGTTGAAACTCAAGTTCATTTCTTTCTCGCATTATAATATTAAGCACATCTGCCTTATCAGCTAGCAAAATTTTTGAATAAAGCCTTGCAGATCCTAACTGGGACACTTTTGGTAAAATATCTTCAGTACAAATTTCACCAATGGGACGTACATTTAATGAGCCACGTAATTTTTTCATAAGATTAAAAGTTATTTCTTCTGACGTATTAAAGTTGATGTGGGGCACAGGGACAACACTGTAATAATATATTTTAGTGTAAAAAATAGAGAACAAGTGAAAATTTACCTTTTAAGGTCGTTCTTGTCAACACTTTCAAAGCAAATAGGACATTTTCTCCAGGTTTTATCAGTCAATGCTAAATAATGTAAAAGACATGACCAACAATAGATATGACCACATCGTGTCATTTTTGCTGCTGATGGTGGATAGAGACATATTGGGCAAGACGGATACTCAATTACATTAATATTCTGAAATATATATTTTCAAATAAAAATATTGAGTTATTTTAAAAGACATGACTTACAACTTGTTCAATTAAGTCCCAATTAACAAGAGAATCAGGGTTGTTCATATGAAGTTTATAATCAGCCCCTGTTTTAACAATAAATTGACAACTAAAATAAAGTGCATAAGTTTATTAATAAACACATATAAATGAACGTATACTTTGCTTGTAAGAACTGCTCCTTATTATACTTATGTTTATAAGTGGAAATCAGTCGACCTCCAACTTTATGAGGCATCCCCCCAGGTCCCGATCGCCAATGCGTATCTCGGGGCTCAAAATGAAAATTAAGAAGATGGTTAAGATTTTGCTTTTTACTGCCTGATACCAAAATTGAGCCACACTCAATCTCCTCATCTACTATCCTGGAGCTCGTGTTTCCGTCAAACGTCCCTGAATGATAGTAGCCCCGGGGACGTGGACGCTTATCAGCCATTTTGTTATTACGTTGGGATATAGGTTTGCGAGAAATATCATTTTTCGAAGAAAACGAACCTCCAGAAGGCTCTCTGCGGCGACCTCCGCGAGAGTATACCTTTGTATTTGATGCATCTGTTTATGACAGAAAAGACTACTAAAAATATAATTTTATAAAGCACAGCATTTAAACACGATCTTATAATATTATATATGCACTGTTTATTTTTACTATTATGAAATGATGTGACAGTTTATAATTTATTATATAGTGAATTTATTTATTCAATAGCTGCATCAAAATAGATTATATGAACTCAGTAACTTAGTTGTTTTTATGCAAATACCATACATGTGGCAAATTTTCAGTATTTGGTGAATAATTACATGATACGCCATTTTAACGACCTTCAACCATCAGGTAATAGGTAATAGGCTCATACCTTGACTTTTTTTATCGTTACTTGCGCCCTTTAAATAGGGCTGCAAAGGACGATTTTTCGATTTCTCCATTAGAAATTCTTCTTGCATTCACTGCTACGAGGTGTCGAGAGAGAATTTCTTCTCCACTGAAGGTGGTTACGCTCAGCTTCAGACCCGTCATCTTAGAAAGCCATGTTTATAATATTCAAAAAAGAAAATAACAAACTTTTAGTGTACTTCCAGTAGAATCACTCCAAATAGTAATATAAAATTTCACAAATTCACAACCAACTGGGGTGGTTAAGCCCCCTTTTCGTCGAAAACGACGATAGTTTTCGAGACAAACTAACACACTTCGTCGCAAATATGGCGACGAAAAACTATGTGTATTATGCGTTTGTGGTGGGAGCAGGTATCTAAACAGGCTAGGCGCTTGCGTAAGAGTGTAATAATAATACGTTTCAATGTAACAATAAAATAACAATAAATAATTAAATCACCGCCCTGTTTGAAAATTTTAATTAAATTGATATGTCAAAAAATAAATA